TTGCCGAGATGAACACCCGGTCAATGGCTCGGAAGATGTTTAACGCGGAGCAGGAGAAGCTCTCGCTGACGGAGCGAGCGGTGAAGGTGGCCAGGAACAAGGCCTGGACGACCGCGTTGCAGTACAAGAAGTCGCGATGTGAGAGGGGGCATGCGTACCGTAGCGTTTGGAAGAAAAGAAACGCCGAAAATGATGCGAGAGAGAAACGCACGGTTCGGTGATATCGCAAGCACCGGTGACACCCCGCACCCCGGTACGATGTAAAAGACCAGGAAAGATATGGTTTATTTCGCTGATCGCACGGGGGTGAGCTATCACCGATACCGAGTGCCCCGGGTGGTTTCGGGACCCTCACTGCGCCGGAGGTACGTTTGCGGTTTCATCGTGAAAGGTGTAGTACGTATTTGAGACACTGCTGTGTATTCTGCAGTGCGGCCGTGACATGTTGGGTATGTTACGTATCGGAGTTTCGCAAGACGGTGTGCGTCCAAAGCTCCCCGTACTACTGCTGTGGGGCTTGTTTACTCAATACCGCAGTACCGAGGCTATCGCACCCCCCGTACGATAAACGTGCAGAGTCGAAATGACTTAAACTGATTATCGCACGGGGATTGGTGATATCGTACGTGTACCAGTGATATCGTACCCCCGTACGACACAAAGTCAAGAACGAAACATTTTAGACATCGACCACACCCCCGTGTGTTCTCTCGCATCGTTACGGTAAGCGCCAAGGAATCGAGTCATAAAAGAGCGGAAGGGCTCCCCGCGGTGACCCCTGGTACTGCCTAGGCGCGCCGGCCATGGCTCGCTGAGTCGCGGTAGGGGGTTTCGTTCTTTTTTCTTCTTGCAGAAACAAAACAAGTTCTTTGTACGAGAGTCGCCGCCGCTCTGAGCCATGGGGGTTGGACGCGGTCTGTTTGACCAGTAGCCTCACCGCTCTCTTCTGTGGCACCTGTCAGCGATCGTGCGGCCGGTTCGGCGTAGGGCGTACGGTGATTAGCGACCCGTCCGTTTCGAGACAAGGGTAACATCTCTGTTCGCGCTTCTCGAAATAGACATCTCCCTGACGTACTTTCTTTCTCACCCCCTTTGCTTTTCATTGGTAGCAGATGCTTGGGAGAGAAACCTGTTGCTGATGATCGTGCCTCACCCTTCCTTATTTGCCTTTTGTGTGTTGGCCACCGTGGAGATGTCAAATCATCACGATCGTTTTCTTGCTAGTGTTGATTGGGCCATGCTCATATCCATGTCATATGTATCAGCGTTTTTCTTGTGCTCCTCCAAGACTCCCTCTTCGTGTGATGCAGCTCACCCCCCGCCCCCCTCCTCCCTTGTAATGGCCAAATGTTGAAAACAGGTGCGTTTGGGCGTCCTCTTCCTCCTCTACAACTAGCTCCCATCCTCGCCCGCCTTCTTGCAACGTCCTGCCCGCCCAGTACCCGAACCCCCAAAGCTCTTGCGATTCCTCCTTCCTCAGGAGAAAATGGCCTCGGTTTTTAATTCCTGGTACAACGATACATGCGCTTGCCTGAAAAGGCCACCCAAGCTCAAGAGCCCCCGCGTTTTTTTTCTCTATCCTCCCCCCCCCCACCGCGCGCCTAACGGTCACATGGACGCTCCCCCATGGCAGCGTGCATGCTCTTCACCTCCATCACGACGTTGGTGTCGTGCGTGTTCTACATCGTGGGCACCTACACAGCGAACCAGCACCACTCCATCGTGATCGCGGGTGAGGCTGTCTTCGCCCTCGTCTTTTTCATGGACTACGTCCTGTCGGTCACCGCCGAAGCGGTAAGTGTTTCACCGCGGCCGTGATTTTGGCGTACCATGTGGTACCGCCCCTCTCTGCCCCCCCCTCCCATCTTCATTTTGCTCTTGGCACCTTTCCCGCGGGACAAATTTGCAACCACCACCACCCCGCACCCCTTTATTTTTTCCGCCCGACCTGTCTTGGACGCCTGAAGCCACCCCTTTCTGTAGACTCCTATGTGTACCACCCGTGTGCCTTACGGGAGAGTGTTCCTCTTTAGCGGCGCTTGCCTGTGTTGTGTTGTCGTCGCGAGACAGAGTGTCCAGTTCGGCAATCTCTTGTTCCTCTGCCAACGTTTTTGTCGGGATTGATCGTTCTCACGACCACCGAGCGCCCTCTCAACAGTTATGTACTTGTGACCTTAACTTTCAACCCAAGTCGTTGTCTCACACCCCCGATGAACACGTAGATGCCTGTCGCGTTTGCGCACTAGCGGAATCTTACCACCCAGGCATAGCTAGTAGTTCGCAAACCTTCTTCGTGTAGTATCACACGTCGGAGAGCTACACATCTCTACGTGGTTGTGTTCCTCGTTTGTGGCTTGCACAGGTCTTGTGAGCACCAAAACATGTGACTTCTGCACGACCAAACGTCGGGCCTGGATCGGCACCCACACGCTTGTAGGTACCCCCAAAGCCAAGTTCGATACATGCGTCACGATGCCGATCGTTTAGGGGTTGTCCACCACCTTCCTTGTATATTTTTTCGTTTTTGGCACATGCTGCTGCCCCCCCGGTCGCGCGCAGCGTCTGAGTCGATTGTTCGCGCCTTGCTTATATTTTCTTTGTGCGCCCGAACAACAACAAGGTGTGGTTAACATACGTCCTGAGCTTCGAGGGCATCGTGGACCTCTGCAGCATCTTTCCTGTCTTCGGCGCCTTCTACAGGTGGCTCTACAGCCTTTCTTTTGTCAGGTGAAAAAACGGAGTAGGTATACCTTTCTCAGGCAAGAGCAAAACAAGGTATACCCCTCCCCCCTCCCCAAGCTAGAAGTCGTCTGTAGACTGCCCCTTGCTCCTGTTTCCACGGGCGATGGCGTGGACTCGCTCACCAAGCGGACGTAGCTCTACGTATGGGTGAAGACCGCACAAAGAGTATTCGACGCGACAAAGGCGCCCGACCTTATCGTGAATGGGAAATCATCCCTGCCGCGCTTGGTGTTGAAACGCCGCTCTCGAGGTGCGGTGCTGGTTTGCGTCTCCGACTCGACCTCGCCTTTCGTCGAGCGCACAGCAACAAAAAAACTGGAATGGAATACGTGTTCCTTGCCTACCTCCGCCAGAATATGATCGTCATCCGTGACGCCATCACCATGACATATGCATACGATACATAGGGTTGACTGTTAAAACTATGCACTGGAAAAATGAAAAAGATCCGCACCGGGTGCTTACAGCGATCGCCTACCCATCAATTTGTTGTTCGCATTTTGTGTCGCGCCCTCGTTAGTACATGCACCGTTCTCCCTAACCGGTTGATCTGTGCTTTGGTCGTGTTCCACGACATTTAACTTTGGCAGTCCCGGCCTCGAAACGGCCCAAGGTAGGCTCTACGGAAACCCGGCACCCCATGACCACAACGGGTAGGCGGCACAGCCTTTCGTTCCGCGGGTCAGTCCAGTGGAAGATGCGAAGACCGATACTTTCTCATTCTTTTGTAGCGGATGGATGCACAAAACACACGTTGGACGACCCGGATATAGGTCACCCTCGCCCTTGCCCTCGCCATACCCCGACCCCCCCCCCCCGCCCCGCCCCCGGCCGCCCGGTGCAGATACTTGCGACTTGGGAAGGTAACCCGCGTGATTCGGAACCACCGGATGCTCGAGAAGATTGGTACTTTCACGGATGTGACCGTGAACGCGTGCCTGCTGGGGCTCAAGGTAATGATCGCTCGCTCTCCCGGTATGTAGCCAACATACCGTATGCAGTTTCCCGATTGTGCAGCAGCCGTGTACGTGTGTGTGTGTGTGCATGCCCTCTTCCCCTTCTTTTGCGACAGTTTTTGGCTTTACCTGACTCTGAATTTTTGTTCGTGTTTCGAAGACCCAATCGAGGTGAACGAATCTTGTAGAAGATCGTTTCTCTGCCGACGGCCTTTCGGTTCCCTTCCCCACCGTGTCGATTTGCTTGCTGCTCCTACACGGGCGCTTGGACTTACAGGTTGGTGTATGTAACTCGCTTGTCAACATGTTGGAGAGACGGGCACAAATGTAAACGTAGCGTCGTTTGGCACCACAGCAGTGTTTTTTCAAGACACTTTTACGGGTGTTCCCAAAACCACGGACGGTTGGTTGAGATAACTGTTTTTTTTTTTGTTCTCGTGTTTTTCTTGGGTGCCTTCCGGACCCTTCGAAACAGATCTTGGGCCTGATCCTGATGACGACGGCCATCATCTACGGGACGGAGCAAGCCTTCAAGGACGAGACGGACGGTAAAGCCTTCGACGACAGTGGCACCATCGAAGATAGCGGCACCATGCAGTGGCACGACTGCTTGTACTTCACCATCGTGACGCTGTCTACGGTGGGGTGAGCACAGGCGGCGAGAGTAGCAAGCAGCGTGGTCGTCTTGTTGCGGTGTCAATTTCACACCATTTCGACCCAACCACCACCTGTGTACGCGGTGAGGTGCCGATTTGCACGCCGAGCGATCCGGGGCATTGGTGGTGGTGGCGTGAGAACGCTTTTGTTCTTTGTTTTCGATATGTCATTGTTTGTATCTTTTTCAACCTCTTATTTGCTCCACACATGGCCACCTGGGACCCCTTCTCCCATGACATGGAATAGCCAGCAGGAGGCGGTAGCGGTACTGAGGCATTAAAAGTGGGCTGAAAAGGTGGCAAGTGATATCGATAGGATAGATGGATGGAGAAAACATTTTTGAGCCATGTGGCCATCGGTGATCGGTCAAGTGGGAACAACCGTCCGTCCTATCGAGGACCCGTGGTCAATTATCTGTTACACTAAGGGATGCAAAACATGAGTACCCCGCCCCCCTGCCCCTTCCCGCCGACGCCCCGCCCCCCAACGCGCCCCCTCGATCAACAAATGACAGGTACGGGGACGTGTTACCCGTGACGGCCATCAGCAGGATGCTCATGGTGAGACCATCCCGCAGTGTTGGCGAAAGTTCGACCAGGGTGCAAGCGTGGTACCAGTACCCTCCAGTACGTGGCGCACACTCGCGTGATTTTTGCCTCCGCCGTGAGGGTTTTGTTTGCTGCTGGCGATCACACTTCGCAACGTTGACGTGTCGTTATCGTTGATTCGTGTCAGGGAACGACACCTGCCGTTTTTCTTTCTTGTCGCTGTATATACGATGGAAATAGTTGTGTTTCTTCTGCCGCTGCCGCATGCTGCTTCTGCTGCTTCTGCTGCACAGCCGTTGTTGCCGCTGCTTTCGGTGCTGCCTTGTAAGTCCTTCGTCGCTGCCGCTGTTGCATATTCTGTGGTTGCGCTTGTTCTGTACAGATCGTGGTGATTGTGGTCGCCCTGACGTACGTCCCGCTCGAGGTGAGAGGGCGGTTCAAAAGACGGAGGCGTTCTGGGCAGGGGTGCGGGGCGGGGGTGGACGGCATTCTCTTAGGAATGAAGGCCCTTCTTTTGTCGCACACGGCGGAGAGGCAACTGCAGTGTTGCATCGCGTGGCCAGTGCTTGCTAGAATTTTTGCACTGGGTTAAGTGCGCGGTCCTGTCGCAGTCGGTTGTTTGCTGTTTCCTGCTGCTCTCATCGGGGAGGTTGATAGCGCGCGTGATGCGTTGGTCGTTGCGGGCAAGGCACCCAAGCCCAGGGCTAAGTCCGGAACCTGATCGACGTCATCGGCAGCCGGCAGGTTCATGCTCCCCTTGTTTTGAACACTCCAACTACATTGCCCCGAAACGATGGTGTTCCACGTACTACCTCCGAACTCAAAGCCGTGGGAAAGGGGCTGTTGCAAGCTTATCGGCAGTCACCTGAGTTGTAGGTTCGCCCGTGCAATGTTGGCTGCATCGGGGGCAGCAGACCGGCCGGCCGGCCGGCCAAAGAACGCCCCCCCGGGCTACACGAGGCATATGTTTGGGGCGGCGGGGGGGGGGCGTACTCAGGATCGCATGCCTTAGTAGTTACACCACGCGTCCTCGAGAGAACGGAGCATTGTTCGCATTCACTTTCCCCCTAGGCAGACATATTTTCTCCCTAGGCAAACCTACCCCTACACATACGGTGCGTAGGTTTGGAAAGCTGCGACCCTGTGTCGGCTGAACCGTTTCCCACCATGATGTGTTGGTGCTGTCGGTGTGAATGCGGCAGGTCGGGAACCTGATCGACATCATCGGCAGCCGGCCCAAGAACAGGGTGGGATACTCGAGGCACCTGGTCGGCAACAAGCTCCACGTGGTGCTCGCCATGGTTCCCGGGAAGGACGACGGCGAGGGCGAGGCGGGTTTCAACGCGGCGTCTCTTCGGAGAATCATCGAAGAGCTCTTCCACGAGGTGACCCCCGGTGTGCGCGCGCAGCAGTAGTCGAATACCTGGCGGGGTTAGGGTTAGGGTCAGCAGTGTACAGCAAGCGTTCCGGCGTCAAGGGCCAGATTTTTGTCACAACCATGGTGGTGCCTCATGTGATTTCAAACCTACAAGTCATGGGAAAGACGCTTCCCATGGTACAAGAAGCTTGAAACAAGAACCAAACATGCTCGTCTTTTTAAAACGGGAACGGCTGTGCATACTCTCCCATCGTGTTCGCAAGGTTATCTGTTTTTAGACCGGAGCTCCTGAAATTTATTGCTGAATAATTCCTATCTCCGTGCGGGTTTCTATGTTTTGTTGTGCGTTCTTCTATTCTTGCAAGGATCATGGCGTGGACAATGAGTCTCTCTGGGTCGTGATCATGAGCCCCTCCCCGCCCTCCCCCGAGGTCCTGAGCGTCATACGGAGCCCCCTGTTCATGTCGAGGGTCATATACTTCCGGGGGAGCGTCATGGACCCTTTGGACATGAACGCCGTGTGTGCGGAGTAAGTTTCTTACGGGCTCGGATGTATTGCGTGTGTGCATGCTTGTTTGGCATCGACCGGCGCTATCCGGCTGACCCAAGTAGGACAAAGCCAGATTTCGGAGGGGACGCGTTTTGTCCGAGGGCTCCACTCGACAAGGGACCGTGGATGAACCTGTTTTTTTTACGTGTGTTCTGTAGCATGCTGTGTGTGTGCGTGAATCCCCTCCTCCCCTTCCGCCACCATCACCATCCCTCCTATCGTCATGCCTACGTCCCGTCGCTGCACCTAACAACCCACGAATCGACCAATCAGATACGCGGACTGCATCTTCTTGTTCCCCGCCGAAGGAGGCGGCGTGGTCGGGAGCTCCTCCGTGGAAACGGAGGAGAAGACGACCCTTGCCGCAAAGTCGGTGCAGCGTTACCTCAACCGCACGCCCACGGACGTGGTGTGTGTGTGTGTGTGAAAACGTAACCCGCTGACCGACGAAAAACCGCCCGTGTGTGTGCGCGCGCGTGAGAGAGAGAGAGAGAGAGAGAGAGAGAGAGAGAGAGAGAGAGAGAGAGAGAGAGAGAGAGAGAGAGAGAGAGAGAGAGAGAGAGAGAGATGAACACGCATGTAAAGATGTGATTTTCAGTTGGCTACAGCAACCAATCGATATATTCTCGTGAGTTATTTTTCATGTTTTTGTGTGGCATGTGTTCCACCTTCTGTTGCAACCGTTCTCCGTTGGAGGCAACTTCTTTTCCTATGCTCGTGTTTCCTTCGTTGTCAAGAGACTTTTTCGATTTTCGGGGAGGTTTTCCCCCTCTATGTATTTCCCGAGCAAGACGAAGATTTTGAGGACCCGGCTTCATCTTTTCCGTCTCGCTTCTCAGGGATTGATGCGCCGGGTATCGGAGCAAAGCGTCATGGGTATGCCTTGCCGCACCCTAGTTACCGTGAAGGAGCTCAGCAGCAAAGAACAGGTGAGCCAACCAAGCGCGTTGGGGCTGCTGTGTTGCTGTTGATGTTAGAGGGATCTCGGTGAACCCATTGCTTGCCTGAGCCCTCACCAGTTTCGCTCAAGTGTTGACTCCCGGCTGGTGTTCCAATTCTCGTCGTGTGAACACCATGCCTCGAAAAGCGGCCGAAACGAACAAGTTTCGCGCACGACCGAGAGCGAATATTCGACAAACACGGTTTTGGGATAGGAGGAGGACGGTAGGAGGGTGACCAGGAGTCCGCTCGATGCCGGGCATGGCGGCAGTCTCCCATCTTTGGGACGCTCTCATTCGGAGACATCGTGAGGGGTGCCTCGTGGTCAAGTCGCGGTGCGGCTCGAAACACGTAGCCGTCTCCAGGGAAATTCAGCATCAAGTAGTGATCGTCTTCGTCATCGTCGTATGTGTGGCCCCCCTTTGCGCGTACTTCTCTTTTGGCCGGCCTGCGCGCTTGTTCTCAGCTGCTGCGGTTCGGCATCAACCACGTGATTTGCCACGACGAGCTCAAGATGTCGATGCTGGCCTGCGCCACCCTGTACCCCGCCTTCCTGCCGTTCGCGATCAACGCCATGCGGAGCAGCAGCGACTACACCGTCCCGGTGAACAACACGTGAGCGCTCAATCTGATGCGGCGGAAAAAGTGTCTCTTCGCCGCTCCGGCAGGTCGTGCTATCCAACTAAGACGTCCGGCACCCGATAAGTTCTCCTCCGGGCATCTAGGGTGGTGGTGTTTTGCTCTTCGATCGTGGTTGTCTGTGGTTCTGTTGTTGCCGTTGCTGTTCTCATGGCGGTACCACTCTTGATGGCATGGCGACTAAATACTCATCCCGCCTGCTCGGGGCAGCTCCCACCCCACCCCTTACGCAACGGCGAATCCTTCATGTCCACATCAACCCACCCACCCTCCTTTAAACCGCCATCCGATACAAGCCTTCAACCTTGAATAATTTTTTTTCAAAGCACCCACACATCCTTCTTGCGAGAGGACCACCGCCGAACGACAGCCTATCATGGTTTTGACACAATCCCACAACAACTCCCCCCCCCCCCCCCTCCGCCCCCGCCCCCCCCTCGGGTCCCCCCCCTGCATTGCACACACACCTGCACGATGCCCCGTTCCGGACGCTGCCTGTATCTCAGAGGAGAAGTCAAGCACCGCCACGGCCCTTCCAGCGACGGGGCCATGGCCGCCACGGCGGGCGGCGGCCTTGACCAGACATGGAACTCCTCTTCCGCCCAGGGCGGCGACGGCGGCGGCGACGGCGGCGGCGACGGTAGCTCGACCGGCGCCCCTCCGATGTGGCTCACCGACTACAAGAGGGGCATGGAGTATGAGGTCTACTCGCTTGCTCTCAATGTGGGGGAAGACTCGTGTCTCTGGGGGCTGACATTCAGCAGGTGAGTGGAACCTGGACGTCTCTGATTGTATTGTCGTCGTTGTGGGCGTTGTGCTTTGCTCTTGTTGTTGGCGTCGTCGTTGCGTTATTTACCGTGGATTTTGTCGCGTCCCGGCGGGAAGAAGCAAATCACGAATCACAGCATGATTTTTTGTGCGTAACGTGCGCGGTTTGCGGTGCCGAGTGCTGGTGTTGATTTGGTGCTCGTGTTGCGGGTTTGAAGTTGCGACGCTTTTTTCCCGCCGCAACGGGGCCGTGTTCGTTGCGCTGGCGAGGGTGTGCTTTCCGGCTTGCCCTAGCCAGCATTGGAATCAGCGGTGGTGACACAAGAACGCCTGATTCCTTACTTTTTGTCCGCAGGGGTGAGCTTGTGGTTGTGTTGGTGCTGTTCGTTTACTCCTGTGCTCGACACAAGTTGGTGCAATGTGTCCGCCTCTTTGGTACTCCACGCTGCCGCCTGTTCGGAAAAACCGCCCCCCCTTAGCCACCTGGAAATGCCAAGAGAAACTGTTCCCGAGTCGTCGTTACCCTGGAACAACTAGTCTTAAGCTCAACCCACAGCCACTTGGCAGCGCAGACGACATCCATGTTACCCTCACCGCCGCCGCCGCCTCCATCGGCCCGAAATAACAGCACCAGGATGTCAATGGGGCCCCCAAACGATTTCAACACCCCTCTTAACCCACCTACTCTATGTATGCGTACACCGCCTAACCCTCTACACCCTCACATCTCAGAGATGACCCACCTACGCTATACAATGCATACACGGCCTACACCCTCTCACACATCTCAGAGCTGCCCTCGAGCTGTACGAGGACTCGAAGGGAGAGGTTCTCCTCATGGCCGTGGTGCGCGACTTCCGGGACGTCGCTGCCGCGGGCCTCGGCTCCGGCAACGCGAAAGCAACACCCGCGAACGGGCTGGCTGCCGCCGCCGCCGCCGCCGACAGCAGCAGCTGCGCCCCGGCAGAGGCGACCGCCGTCCCCACCGCCATGGATACCAGCGTTGAACCGAACGCCAGGTTGCAGTCTGGAGGGGGAACGCGGGGAGACAACCGGCGACGGCGGGAGGGCGTGGCGGCGAGCGGGGGGTCGGGGGGATTCTCGGCGTCGTTCGTGCACGCGACGATCTTTCCCGGGGACGACTTCACCTTCGCGGGGGAGTGCAACGTGCTCGTTCTCGCGGAGTCCAAGAGTCAGGCGGAGTACCACCTGATCAAGCTGCAGGTGCGAGTTCAAAAATGTTTTTTCGTGCTCAAGCGAACAAGGAAGCAGGGAGACAGGCAGGCAGGAGGGAGAAGAAGAGCGCCCGGTCTTGAAGAAAATTATTTGCAGCACAGACATCGGCATGGCGTATACGTTTCATAGGGTTGGTGTCGCAAAGCAAAGCGTATCAACCAAGAGGCATGTGGACGGGTACCCCCGGTTTCCGTGACAACGCGCGCCTGTTTCTGGCCCCCCGACATGTTTTCTAGCTATGGTTCGACCTTCGATGTAGCTAGCTGCTGCCGCGTGACCCTCTTCAAAGCGGGCTGCGTGTTAAACACTGTGTATTGATCAACACGAGGCCGTCTATCAAACCCTTGCTGCAGCAGCAGCGAGGCAGCAGAATGAGAACTCCGTAAGACCTTTCTCTTTTTAGGACCCCAGAAAACCGAACCAAGACATTCATTCGAAACAACACGCCTCCGGGGCGGTACAACAAGAACCCAATAATACGTAGATCTGGGAGATTTCTGAATTATTCCGAGCGCAAAAAACAACAGATTATTCGGTTAGACAACAAACTTTCATTTGTTTTGTGCGAGTCACCTTTGCCCTCCCTCTCGACCTAGCCGCCGGGCGGTTGGTTCCTGAACGCAGCCCTCTGCCGTTACCTTCACGACGTGTGTCGCCTCCCCTACCATAGAATATAAAACTACAGACACAAAAAGCCATGTACTTGTTGCGTTGTATTTGCTCTGGCAGGATTCGCTACCATCGACAACGGAGTCGCGCCTGAAGCAGGAGGAAGACGAGGGTCACGGTGAAGCAGAAGCGGCCGCCGCCGCCGCCGTCGCCGCTGCTGCTTCGGCCGTGGTGTTGGATACTTCGTCGAGTTCCGGGGAAGAGGCGTCCTGCGGCGCGAGCGCCGCGGGGCTGATGATCGTCAAGCAGGCGGCTCCGCAGGTGACCACGGCGGGCGCAGGGGTGAGCGGGGGAACAGAAGAGGCGGAGGAAAAGGTCGAGAGCGGCGTTGCCCCCGGCGAGGCCTTGGCGGGGGCTGGGGAGCCGGTGGAGGCGGAAACCGTCGAGGCGCGGGCTAGGTTGAGTTCGTCGGGGGCGCAGGCGGCGGCAGAGGAGGCGGGGACAGGTGCAGCGATGGCGGCGACGGCGGCGGTAGCGGCGACGGCGGGATGGGATGGGCAAGCGATTCCTTTGCGTCGGATGTGAGTGTGTGTGTATGTCAAGTTTACTCTACAGCGTCGCTTGTTTTTGTGTCATTTTTTCCTTCTTTTTGTCTTGTTATCGCTTGCTTGTTTTGTTGTCCGTTCGTTGATTGGTTTCTGATTCTGACTGGCGTTTGGCTCCGCACACCCTACGTGCGACCGATTCAGACGGGCGCGCCACGCAGCTGTACACCGAGCTCAAGGCTAGACGTTATCGCAAACCAACGGATGACACCTCGTCGGAAGCTAAGCCCCGTCTCAGACGCGCACATGTTCACCGGCCATATCTCGAGCTTCGATTCCTCTCCGTCACGGAGAGGGTCAAGTCTGCTTCAAACGATATCAACCCCATTCGTAATAGTAGTGCCAGGCGTGTTGCAGGTATGAGTTACTCATTGGGTGTGCCCCCACGTCCCCCTCTCTCTCTACCGGTATCGGGATTCCAAGACCGCCGAGGGGGGGATTGACAGGCAGCTGTCCCTATGAGGAGCAACAAGAGGAACAGATGGAAGCAGTGCGAGAAGAAATGTAAGTCCTTATCCTCAGAGCGGCCTTGTTATTACGATACCACCCTCCGGGCTCCTCCGATTCGTAGCGCTACGGAGTCTGGCGGCTTTCGCCTCCCCGCTCAATGGATCGATTCCAAGAATCCCGTACTTCGTCATGTAAAAATAACCCGAACACAGTATGGTAGAGGGGCGGAAGAGAGAGGTGGTGGAGCAGTGGATTAATGGATGCCTTGTGTTTGGAAGGAACACTCGGACCCCACCGCCAGAAGTGCGCCCGGCGTCTACTCGTCGTTCATCGTGTAACAACTGAGGAGGTCCGTGACTTGCAGCATCAAGCCGTGTCAGCGCGGCACTTGGCGTTAACTGCGGAGTTGAACAGTTGCCCCGAAATTTGAATGAACAATAACCCGGAAAAGATTTTGAATGAACAATAACCCGGAAAAGATGAAAAATATGTTCGATGTGTGAAAGACCACCGAGAGACTGGGGTAGACTGGGGTAGACTGGGGTGTGAGAGCCGTGAGGCAGACTGGGGTAAAATGCAATGTATGTGTGGATGGATGATGATGGATGGGGAGCAGAGAGGAGAGGGGCGAATGGTTCTGCGAGCGAGCGAACCAGAAGACATCCAAAAATAAGCGGAAAAACGGGATTATTGAAAGTGCAAAGAATAATTAACCGGAAGATATGTTCGATATGTGAGAGCCCGACATTTGAGAGCGGAGACAGAGACTGGGGTGAGAGCGACGAAAGAGCATCTCGCGTTGCTGTTGTTGTTTGTATCCGGGGTGCTGAAACGAACCGCAAACAGGCGCACCGAAGACGGGGTTCGGTGGAAGGAGGCGTTGGAGGCCCTCACGACAGCAACTGGACAACTTAACTCGCTCAAGACGGCGGCGGGCACGTTCACCGAGTCGACCATCACGCTCGACCCGAAAGAGTTTTTTTCGACGGTGTGTATGAAGAAAGCAAACGAGAAGAGACGGACCGAGTGGCACGACACGTGCCGGATTGAATTTCTTTTCGCCAATTCCCCCCCCCCCCAACGCTGCACCATTGCACCAACCCCCCAGTAGTAGTGATTTCGTACCATTACAATGTATCGCTGGTTGGTGGCCATGTTTGCGTGTTTGCTTGTTCATTAGTGGTCTCTGCACCGTGTGCCTTGTTCTGCCTCATACTTCCTGTTATTTTCGGCCTGGTCCCTCTTTGTCCTCGCCCTTTTTCATTGTTCATTTTATTTTCATTTATTTTCTCTTCTCCTTACGGTTTCCATTTTTATTTTTTCTCCTTTTTTTCTCTTTTTTCTCTTTTTTCTTTTTTTTTTCTCTCTTTTTTTTCTCTCTTTTTCTGTGCCAGATGGCCTTGTCTCTGCTTGCGTTGTGAAGTACCAAGATTGAACCAAGGGGGTGTACCTCTTTCTCTCCGGCCCATGATAGATAGTGACTGCTAGTCTCAGTTGATACCTCGCATAGCGCGAAGAGGGAGAGGAGGATCCCAGAATATCTGTCGTTGATTTCTATTGACTTGCGGACCCCTCGGGGCCAGTTTATTTGAGTGTACCTTTTTAGGGTAAGTTAACCTGTGACCACGGGAATCGACCGCGTCGAGTGTTGGATCAGTACGGACATACGAAGGTACTGGGTAGAGAGAGATCGGAACGGTTTTTAATGTGAAGACAACAACAACAACAACAACAACAACAACAATGAGAGAGAGAGAGAAATGTGCTTCGCGTGGCACACCCGGCCGGCAGGCCAACAACGTTTCAGCCAGCCTGGCGGTGTATGCTCGCATGTGTGTACTGCCATCCGCCCTTGACCGATTTCATGGCCGCCCGGTGTTGGAGGGAGGCCATTTCTAGTCTATCTGCTGTCTCATTTGATAGCCGACGGTGGCAATGCGCTTAGTTTTGCACAGTAGATGAAACAAGAGGAAAATGCCCAGTGTACATTCTCCAACCATCACCGATTGTTAACAACAGGGATAGCGCCCTGCTTGTCGAGTTGTCTCGCTGGTTTGATCAGGATGTTGGCCGGGAGACACTCCCCAAGCCTGACAGACATGGAGGTGTAGTTTCCGCGGTTACCGATCTCTCGGTCACGCGACCGAGCGCCAAGAATCACCTGAGGGATCTTGTACAACCATGTGTTTTGCATAGTGGTGTTCCGAAGTCATGCTACTTGCTAAATCATACAACCATCGTTTGGCGCTAAATCATAACCCAACGTTTGCGCGCGCGCGCATGTGTGTATGTGCGTGTATTGTTCTGCGGGTTGTTGGCCCGCAGGTGCAGGAGGCACGCTGCCGGCTAGACGACGCTCTGCGCGTCCAGGCCGCCGCGGTGCCCGAGGACCTCGAGGACCACCTCGTTATCATCGGCGCTCACCCGCGCTTGCAGTACTACGTGGCCGCGATGCGTCGGCAACGCCCCGACGTGGCCATCGTTGTGGTCACCGAGGACAAGGCGAGGGAGCATTCTCTGCACCAGTTGGCGGAGGGAACGTTTTTGTCACTAGTTATGAGCAACGCCTTTCTGATCTCTGCTTTCGTTTTATTTTTGTAATTTCCTAGTTGTTCTGGCTGCTGCCAACCAGGCTCACAACTTTTAATCCCGAAGTCTGTACCTTGGCATTGTAAACAGCACTAGATTCCGGGGTGGGGTTTGGTTCGCCCAGTTGTGCCCACACCCTTGCATGTTGCCTGAAGCGCACGCTAACAGAATTGACCAGATGCTCCCTACGAACACACCAACTCAGCCCACGAATCCACCGCGACAACGACCACACGCCACACCAGGAAAGGTTCTTCGAGTTGCGCGAGAAGATTGCAGAAGCGAAGTGCGACTGCGCCGACCTGAACATCACCAAGATCTTTTCCGTTACCGGGAAGAGCCAACAAAGAGCCACCTTCAACAAGGCCAGGGTGGCAAACGTGAGTTACGTTCTTCGTTTTTTTCACGGAGATATTTCGTGTTTTTTTTATATCGTGCAGCAGTCACGTATGACTTGTCCCTGTTTCTGCAATAAGTTGGACTGGTCAAGCACAGAAATTGGTCGCCGGGCGTTCTCGCGCATGTTGCGTTTTTTCATGCAAACGAAAATACGCAGCAGAAGTATGCCAAACATCCATCACACAAGTCTTCGGGGTATCCCATGCTCTTCACAAATTCTCTCGAGTCCTGGCGTGTGGTTTATCGAGAATGCTGAACGTTCAAAACGTCTTCGAAGATAACGCAATCCTCCTTGCGCCGGCCGTACTTCATAATTCTTTGTGGCTTTTTCCGTCACTGGATTTTTGTCTTTGCTCAGTCGTCGCGGTTGGGCACTCCTCGGCCGTTCATGTTGTACACACCACAGACAGTCGTGGCTGCACAACAATCGTGATGTTTTGTCTAAGGGGTCGGGCTGTACACGTCTCGTGTTCCGTCTTGTGTAACTCTATTTGCATGATGGCATGCCCCGGCGTTTTGCATGTGCGACCCACCCAACCCCTTTCCCCGCGATCAAATGCACGGGGATTCCCGATTGCGAATCTGAAGCAGATTTTATTGTGCCCTTTCCCCCACAATGCCCAATTTTCGATGGGCACGCCTGTTTGTGCGCACAAGGCAACCCTCGCGAATTTCTGTCCCAATCACCCCCCTCACCTCTGCGTGTTTCCGTCTTGGGGGACCGTGTTTAACCACACCTCAAGTCTGCCGCTGTGCTTCTCGTGTCGGACGAGCCGAATGATACGGACGTGCTCCTGGTATCGTTCGAGCTGGAGCAGATGCTGAGGGAGATACCAGCAGGTCAACATGCCCCTAAGGTGACACACACGATGTGGACTCTTGACGAAATTGGCTGGCTGATTGGCTGGCTTACGCCCACATAAGTGTAAGCGGACGAAATGGAGTTTTTTTGCTCCACGGACTTGGTTCCATCACGCACACCCCGGAGTGGACGTCCCCGTCGATGAAGAGCCACGGTTTGGGGTGGCTCCGATTGCCGGTTGAGTTCCCGGTTGTTTCGGTCGCGGTTGAGGTTATCTTGTCCGGCTTGGGGTTCCTCTCGGTTGAGGTTGAGGGGTGGGGTGCGGTCGAGCTGTACAGCAACACCTTGGCGTTCAGCAGATATCGGGGTCGGTTTCGAAGAAACGTTAGGCTCGATTTTCTTGCCGATTGTGCCTCGGAAGCGCGCAACCTCCCTGAAGCGCGAAATGAACACTCCGACGACAGGTGTTGATCGACCTTCACACCGACAACAGCATCTACTACTGCGGAAACATGCTCGGCCGTGGGGGGGGCGGGTCCACCGCTAGGCGCGGGCGCAGCAGCCGCATCCTCAAGGTGCCTGAATGGGAGTCATATGAATTTCGTTCCTGGCTATACCCAAGTAGACTTGCTCTTCTGCACACCTTGTTGCCTAAAGGATTCCTCAGGAGCAATAGGCGGTAGGTATCGCGGTAACTATCTCTCCCATTGTTTTGCCGATCGAGTGGCTCCGACGTGCCGGGTTGAACGGCCATGGTCCTGCAGGACCTAGAAGGTAGATGGGGATACCGGTGCATGTTGGCTCGCGTCGGTCATGACCTTTTTTCGGTTGCGGAAGCGGTCTGATGCTCTGCCTATTACTTTGTGGCGTGCAATTGTTTGTTGGCGAGTGGTATGCATACGTGTTTTTATTCTCTACTTGGAGGAAACTAGCACCACAACAGACCCGTTTACAGAATTTGAGGGGGGCTCACGTTGCTTCGTACTGCCGTTACCCCCCTTTACACCGTCTTTACCGCGCGTGGTAGGAATCATCGGCGTTAACCTCCGCCGGCGTGTGGGAATGGCCGCTTTTCACCGCTGGGATGGTGTGGACTGAATCAAGTGAGTGGTGTGCCCCGGCCATGTTTGATTCCAATCCCGGTTATCTTGCGTTTCTGGCTATTTTCCAACTTGCACGCCCCCTTTCTTCCACTGCGCCTTAAAGCCGCCATCCCCACAGGATGGGCGCGCTCGGTGCATCCACGTCTTGTCATGGAATTTTCGCCGACCTTGAGTGGGAGCCACGTAGTTTCCTCTTTTCCCGCACCATCCAGCACTTGAGAAATGCCCCCCGACGCCTACTGATCCCACCCATGTGCCGACTTACGTACCATATTACCTTTTAACACACATCACGTAGGGAACCGCTCACATATCCCTATTCCCCTCCACACCGTCCTACGTTTGATGCTACTCCTGGCCCGTGTGCCCCACGCGTTGGTGGCAAATCAACACGAAATGCAAGTCATGGAGGTGTTCGAGGTGCAGACGTACTTCAGCACGGAGTTTTTGGCGTTCTTCGAGACCCTTCTCCAGATGAAACGCCCGGTACTCGTCGGGAACGAGCTGGTAGACGACGCATCCATCATGGAGCCCGCAGTGCCACCCCCCGCCTCTTCTGGCCGCGATGACGATGGAACCCGTGACACTACGCCCTCTGCTGGTGCATGTGGAAAGAAGCCCCGTTCGCGCCACTCGCCGTTCCGCGGACAAGCTGGGACTGCTTCCACTGTCTCCCCCACGGGGCAGTTTGACATGCTACGCGTGGCGTCGCGCAAGTTCTGGGGGGGAAGGTACGACGCCCTGGCGCGGGAGCTCATCCTGCAGGGGGCTATGCCGCTGGGACTCTACCGCCCGACGGGCACGAAGGGCAGCAGTCTGCCCTACACTCAGGTCAACCCTGAAGTCTCCGAGCGCCTCGTGGAAGGGGATTTCGCGTTCGTCCTGAGATCTAGGTCTTGCTCCCTGATTGGCTCGGTCTGAGGAGTCCACGCACGCTGCTTTCCGCGTGGACGAATCATAATCTGACGGACTGGAGGAAGCCGCGCGGAAAACCGAGAACCGCAAGCTGGTGTGTGTGTGTGTGTGCTGTCAACGGTCGATCTGTTTTGCTGGCTCTGTCCTGATGGATCGTTCTGTTGTTTTGACCTCGGATCGTTTCGCAGGTTGCCGTTGAAGAAAATACCCATAAGCAAGCAAGCGTGGGAGATGTTTTGGTGGACGTCGTGAGGCCCAAAGGTCATGATTCATGCTTGCCTCCGTCTGGAACATTTCGAGGGGCCAGGTTGTTGGGGGATTGATTGTGTTGAGGGCGGGACACAGGCTGTGCGCGAGGGGGGGAGGCAATATCCGGTGCGTCTTGGTTGCCTGTCTAGACGAAGTAGATATTTGAGTCCTCCTGCTGATCGATCAGCCCAGGCCGACATTTTTTTGAGAACATTGTTTTACCCGCTCTAGGGACAATAGTGCCAAGCAGGCGTGATCGGCGGGCTACAGCAGCAGCAGCAGTGGGTGGGTGCGAAACATACATACATGCGATGCCCGAGTAAATTTGCGAAGGATGCAGAGCATAGCACAGCAGTTTCGAACATGAAGCCCTGCGCCTTCGAGCGGGGCAATGTGTATTTTGGATACAAGACAGGTAGGTGTACTTCCCTCTCTCTCTTAGTCTATGCTCTATCCACACATAACATCATGTATGTGCAACAAAAAGTTTATTTTGTGTGTTGCGGAGTGATACTATAATTTTAATACTGCTGGGCGGGTCCAGAGGGGTGAGGGCGATCGATTCATCATCTTCTCCAAGTGCTTGCTCGCCAACAGCCACATTATTATTATCATTTGTCCAGTACCCAGCCGGTTTTCCTCCACTCACTGAAAAGACTCCACCACATCCCGTTCGACTGCTGTGGGTATATCTCGAACGGGTAGTCTATCTGTGTGTGCACAAAACAAAAAAGAGAAGAAACCAGAAACGGGTAAATACCCGGTCTATCACCACTTTTGGGCACTTGCGCATAGAAATCAACACGCAACGCGTGCACTCCCAGGCAGCCAGCTGATTGGCCGAAACACCATCATTGATCGTACCCACTTTTGGGGGAAAACCTCCATCGGGGGTATAACCGGCGCTGGCATCTGGGCCCTCTACATGTAGTGTAGCCGAGATACTGGTTAGACTCTGGGTGTAGTACGTACGTACGTACCCGGAAGGGGTCGATTCTGTACCCAGAAATGATGGTCATACAATCCCGACGCCCGACGACTCAAAACACGTCGAATGGCCATTGCGCTTTTATCTGAAAAGAATTCCGTAATACACGGGGCTCCTCGCACGAAGGAAGGAGTTGAACTTTACCACTCGATCGAAATATGGTGTTCCGACAGTCTTCGCGTGCCAGAGAGAGTAGCGCAGAGACAACAACACCCGTGGCCACTCGGCTACCCCTGGGGGACCCTTGGCAGGGGGCTGAACCCTGCAGGCACCCTGTGGGGGGGTTGTACAGGGTTCGGAGCGATGCCAACGTCAGAGCCTGGACCTTGGTAAGGTGTTGTCCATTGGTGGGGTCCATGGCGTTTACCTTGTACATGCCCGACACCCTGTCCGGTATTCTCGGTGATGCCCTGACAGGGTCGTGAAGTAAACAAGGTGAACACGTGGACCCTCGCAAGGTGCTAGGCCTTGCTGGGGTTACCCCTCATGATCCTGCTGCACGCCCATCACCTTGTACGGGGTATCTCGTGGGACCTTGTCAGAGGAACGGTTGCTACAAGGTAATGTGTTAGGCCTTGGAAAGGTGAAGGGTTCGCACAGGGTTGAAAACGGGGACCTTATGTGCTATCCCCCCCCCCCCCTCTACGGCGTGGTCAATGGCAACTCACT